CCCGTTTTCATTTTCGCGGAATACCTCGTAATTACATTTTCCCAGCGCGGCGCGCTCATTACGCTTGCGGATGCGCTTAAACAAAAGTTACGTAGTAAAAGCATCACGTTCACCGGCGATGACGACCGCGCCCCGAGACGAAGTTAGCAGAAACATTACGCGCGTTCGTTCTTTCCGTTATTCCTGCCGATGGTCGTCGCATGGTTAAGTGCAGCGTAGATAAATTGGTACTTTTATAAAGTTTTAATAAAGGGCTCCTGGACTGAGGGCAACATTAAGCATCACGAGAGGTTGAAGGGCTCGGTGGAGAGGGCAGGGGAGCGGGTGGGTAGTTAGCGTTGGCTGCTGAATACTGCGGGAAGGAGGAACTGCGGCAACATTAGCAGAATACCCAAGGACTATGACGGTGAGAGCAAGTTTAGGTTTAAGACGATAAGTGGAGAGTGTATAAGTAGATATATGGAGAAGCAAAGAAAGGAGAGAGATATAGAGAGAGAGAGAGAGAGAGAGAAACAGAGAGAAAGAGTTTCGTGCTCGGCATGCTACATATAGTGTGGCGTACAGGCTCAGGGATTAGGTAGATTTACATATATGTGCTGCATGTTTTATGCTGCGCATTTCACGTCCTGTGCTGCATGCACATCGTGCTCCATGCTCCATGCGCCCATGCTCCGTGTTTCGCGCGAGAGACGCGAATTACCATACGGGCTTTAGCCCCCTCCTCCCTCTCTTCCGTTAATATTCAAATATTATTCCTGGCTAAACGTACGATATCATCGAGGCTCTCGCGAATTAGGATTGAATTAATGAAACTCGCTTGACGTACAACGCGCGTGCATCGAGGAGGGATCGCGCTTTCCTCCGCGCGCCGGAGGCGGCAAAATTCTTTCATATTTTCACGCAACGTAAAATCCACACTGTGGATTTCACGCGGAGAGCGCGACTCGTTCGTCAAACGATCCGAGAGGCTGATGTAAAATATCGAGACGCTGGAATATTATCGACTAGAAGGCAAACAGAGGCCGAAATAGATGTACCTTGTCGTCGCAACGGTCTTCGAGAAACAGTTGTCACGAGTGCAATCGTTGTATCCGATTATCTCTCGATACAACCACCGTCTACTTGTTTCCATTCGGGTCAATTTTGCCCCGCGGAGCGGATCGTAAATAGACGTGACCATGCCGACACATGCCGTTCTTGAGGACTACTTTAGGTAAAGAATGTCTATCATACTACCATAATATACATACAAGAGTTGCTTGAAGGGGGGCAGGGGCGGGAAAGGGGATGTATATTATATATATATGTATATGTGTATATATATATATATATCGAAACAAGTCGCAGATCAAAAAATCATATTACAAGCAGATTCATATAGGCATTACCGATATATATATAATGTGACCGCGGCGTGGCACGCCGCGGATAATGTTGCAGTCGTTTCGTTCTTACATGCGCTGGGCTAGATGCACAATGCGTTTTAATTCGGTCGGATCATTGTCGACACGTCGTTTCTGGGTTTAGCCTCCTTCGGGGCTGGCCGTCGTCGGCCCTTACTACGTCCCCGGACACGAGGCTCAGTGCTATATGTCGGAGGCCGTTCGGG